TTAGAAGAGGCAGTCTTTTAGGATGAAGTACATCTATAATGCTGAATTCATCAGACACCTCCCCAGCTTAACACACTGTGAAGCACATGAAACTTCACACAGAGAGTTTACAAGACAATACTGAGTTCTCTGTGGGCACTAGACAGCAGCACATGTAAAACCTCACTGTCTACAGCCTTGGCAGTACAACCACTGAGCTCCTAAGCCATTTTTCCCAGTGAATTGTGGAGAACTTTTCTCAAACTGCTTAGATGTCCTTAAGTAAAGCAAGAACAGTATTCTTCATGATGGTGAGAACATCTGTGGAATTGTAAAACTATGACTTTAGCTGGAGAATCATAAAGATTAGTAAATAGGAAGTGATTTACAAGATTGTCTTTGACATGACTGTCATTGTTGATTCAGCTGCTGTTTTCAATGGCCAAGACTGGATTTCCAAGCTCAATGGGCTGCTGGGCTATGTCAGCACCTGATTACACTTACTGGGCCTGATCCTCACCTTGCATTGCCGATTGGCATTTCTGGCTTCTCAGACCTGACTGATCACTGCAAACTGCTTGATAACCCCGACTTTTGGCTGAGGCTGCCCTCGGCTTGCCCTGCTCCCTCATTTGACCACCCTGGGCTCTGCCTTCCAACCCCCACCCTGGGGGTATTTCCTGTGACAAATCATTTTCACAGAAAAAATTGTCATATGTAAGAAAGATTTAGTGATTCACTCAAAACACTTTTTCATGGCATGGAATTCTTCTAGGTAAAGATCGCAAATTCCAGAATATCGAATACAACAGCTCAAGGGCTAGGTTGTGAAAGAAAAATCTAGATCTTAATTCAGATCCAGAATCTTAAAAGCTATTTCCCACTATGACTCCCACTCCTCTCCAGAGCCTACTAACCTTTTAAGGCTATGAAGATATCATTGAAGTCCTAGAGACATGCAGAAGCAGAATTCTCTGTGTTTTGAAGATTATCTACAGAAAGCTTTTATGAGGCCTCTCGTGTAGCTATACACCAGTCATTGATCTCATAATCCAGACCCAGATTCTTCTGTGTGTACTATAAAACAAGGAAACATTAATTATTACACTAGGTAGAATATTTCTAAGAAAACGGTGTTACGTATATTAGTACATGTATTACATTCTTACTCATCTTAGTTGCCATTATCGAAAGTCCATAACCTCTTTCAGTTTGGGTTACCTGAAGCTATAAATCCACCAGCTGAGAGTTAGACAGAAATGTGTCATCATTACATCAGTTGGTCATAAAACCAATCAGAATAAGGGACTTCTCTCTGAGGGAAATTTTAAAAGCTAACTCTCAATCCTGCTCGCCTGTCAAAACTTCTTTCATTTCCCTGTTAACACTGTCACACTACAATTTATGATTCACAAGCATTACACTAGTTATGACAGAAGGAATATTTTCTATGATTTGGCCTGTATTCTTTTCAGCCTTCTGGGAAAAAAAATAAAACCCCCAGTTCCGTAATCTTGCAAAAGATTGTCCCATATTATGAAAAAAAGGATAGTTTAACCTCCCTTTCCACCAGCCCTGGCTCTGTGCTAAGGGGGTACTAAGGAGTGGACAGGCACTGGTACAGCACTCCTGGGGCAGGATTTGTTCACTGTGCCAAACTTAATTCTGAATGGAGGAATTTGGCCAGACAGTATGATTCTTAGTGCTCTAGCTCCCACAAGTCCCAGAGACAGTACTCTGCTATTATTACTTACAAAAGTGAGAGAAAACATGACTAAGAAACAGAATAAAATGCATTTTCTGTTTTGTTCCTTTTTAATATCTTCCTAGTGCACAACACTAAAAGGTATGAATTTCATTCCTGTAGCACCAGCTCTCCCAAAGGCTTCCATTTGTTAGTCCTTACATTTGTACAACTATACCTGCAGTAGCTGCTCTTGTTTCAGTCCTCAGTCAGCTACCTGGGCGAGTCAATTCTGCTGGCTGTTCAGCTTAATCCAGAGTAAACTGCATGGCTGGAGGCAGGCAGCAAACTTCAGTTCCAATGCAAAGCACAGCAATCCACACTGCATTTTAGTTACTATCATAGAAGTATGTTACCACAGGAACTATACCTGACGAATACTCTCAGGAAAACACACAAAAACCTTCAAAGTTACCTGACAACAGAAAATGTGTTTTAACTATGCCATTATGCAAATAAAGACTTCTCATTTTTTAACTCTTGCTTCGTCTTAACCTTTCAGCAAGCTTTCAGCATCAGCTTTCTATACAAGGCAAAAAAAATAATTCCATGAATAATAGAATATTAAGGGAAGGTGAATGAAGCTATAAGAACTTGAGCATATGAACATTCCATCAGGAATTCATAAAATCAGAAAAAAAAGGCAAATTATGCAAATGGTTCTGTCAGAGATAGAACAAGTTAGACCCAATTGACTTCCGGTGCAAAATATAAAATCTTTTCAAAATTACTGTTGTGAAAAATTAATTTCAGACAGAAAAGGAAGTTTGCCTACATATTCGGAAATAAAGGCAGGAACAGAATGAATCTCATCTACAGATGTAATCAGCTCAGTTCAATTTTTCGTCATTAAAAATACCATTTAAGAAGAACTCAACTCTCTTAAACAGGTTAATAAAAAAGTAGGTTTAGCGGAAAGTTCAGCATGCTTCATTCTACTCAAAAATACAATGTTTCATGTTTTATATAATAGCTTTATTATCAAATTGCAAGAGACGTTTAGTAATGATGTCATGCAGGTATCACAAAAAAAAATCCCAAAGATAAACAGGCCACCCAACACCTCCTTGCAATTAAGAAAACAAAGCTACATCTTCATGATTTTCTCACAGCTGCAGTTTTCCTGTCACAATGTTATGGCTATCTCTCGGATCACCTACAGGAAAGGGTACAGGTAGGCTAGAACAGTATTCAACAGCACGGTGCTTTCTTGCCTCCTTCGAGGCCTTTCTTCCTCATCACAACCCTCAGAAGTCCTCACAGGCAGAAATCTGCCTGAGGCCATTAGCAGCTGAAGATAAACACAAAAGGGGCAGGCTAAAAGCACTAAGGATTTGCAAAGGAAAGAACCTTATTTTCAACTTTTAAGGTCTTAAGGCTTTCAGCCACTGTGATGGGAACCCCAGTCGGGCTGAAACAAGAGCCTGATCCCATCTACACAGTGAAAATATCAAGTGACACAGCATGTTTCACGTTAAACTGAAACAGTTCAGCTCCCTCTTTAGCCTCCAGGTTCCACCAAAACATTGGCTTCACAGAGCATAGAGGGGATTTTACAACAGCATCTGTTACTGACCAGAAGTTGAAACAGAATTTGAGAAAAACCACTGGACAGTAAGTAGTAGGTAATTTATTCTGAGAGATCATCTGCATGAGATATTAACTGTGCAGAAAAGTCGACTGTAAATCTACAGCACTTCACACTCAATAGTCCAGGGGACACTTGCTCACAACAGCTAAATTCATGCTCAATAAATCCCCTGGAGAGATGACCACTGAGATTAGAACTGCAGCAATAAAAACCATCACTGTTTTAGTTTTAAATGCCAAGAAAGTAGACTTTTAGAGTAAATTCTAAATAACAAAAGAATTGCTGAAGCTAAGTGATCTTACAATAAACTTGTGAAGTGATATGAATTCCTTTATCCACCCATGTCAAAAATACCATTTACTGGGCAGCTGAGATTTAAATAAAAGACAAATAATATATCAATAATATTTACTATATATTTACATGTAATGCTCTATTGAAAGGAAGTCAATTAGCATTTTGTTACAAAAAGAACAAAACCTTTTAAAGGTACCAGTACCTTTCACATTATCACATTTACGGAACTGTTCTTACATCTCAGTGACCTGTCATATGATTAGTTAACATCATGTGGAGGACACAGACAAATAAACACTTGAACTGGAGCATATGCTAACGTGTCAGCTCCCACTTCAGCAAGATACGTCAGGGGTACCAACGCAAGCACAA